GTCATCGTAACCCTATTGCCCAGTCTTGCAGCAACTGGAGCCAAGGCCCACAGCCGCTCACGTGATGATCCTGCACCAGACGGTCGTCACTGTTGTTGCCAACATTTTCTGCTGGTTGATACGCTTGTACCTGACACTCTCCATGCCGCCTACGCCAATGCCAACCGCGTCCAACAAGCCGCCCGCCTTTCCAATCACGTTGCCATGCCCAGCCATGGTTGAGCAGACGGTAATGTGTCAACAAGTTCGCGACTCCACTGTGACGGCATCGCTTATGCAGCAAGGCATCGACCCCGCAGCAGGCAGTGTGGTCATCCACGAACATGTTACAGTCGGCGAGAGTTTGCGACCGAAGAACAGCCTTAGCCTGCCCTGCAGCGTGTTCCTGAACGCGGTGGTTTGGCGTCGGTTTTCGAGACCTTCTTTGCCTTTGCTCCCGGACTTCCGTCCTTTCCCTAGCCGGCACACATTGACGTCATCATTATGGTCTCGTAGCAATGCTTGACGTTCCAGCTACCATGCCTCCGGATGGCATTGGTACCAGAGTAGATTGCCTCGGTGGGGTTGTTGCCGATGATGTGCTCGACTCGAACAGGCGTTTTTCTCGCACCGCCGTTGACCGTGAGAAGAAACCGTGTCTGATTTGTCGCGTGTTTGCGAGTGATATTACCACCACAGCCGCTAGCCAAACAGTACACGTTCTGACGGAGCATTGCATTCTACACTATTCCGTTTGAACAGTTACCGGCCCTCTAGTTACCGTCAGCTACCGCACGGCATAAGCGTCCGAGTACCCACATTACGTACTTTTACGCGCTGTATAAGTATCGCGCGACCCTCGGCATAGGACGCATCTAGTAGACCGGCTCTTGAGGGGCATACCGATTGACTACAGCATCCAATACCAAACACCCCAGAGAGATGGCGACCAAAATAATCGACATACGCACGGACACTGCCGAGTCGGATATCCTCGCTGATATCAAGAAAGGCCTTCGGCCTGAGAGTGGCGGCGAAAAAAAGCTGCCTACGTTGCTGCTTTACGAGTAAGCAACGATTTAGTCAGCCCATGATGCACGCTAACCTTTTGTCTCTGCTGTTAGCCAAGAAGGCCTTCGTCTATTCGAAGAGATCACGTACCAAGAGGAGTGAGCAGCTTCACGCTTGGTTTATATGAACACCAAGCTGATGAATGTTCGCAATGTTAGGTATTACCTAACGAATGCCGAGATTGAAGTCCTCGAGACGTATGCGGAGAAAATCGCCGAACGAATCCCGACGGGGTCCATTGTCGTGGAACTGGGGAGCGGGTACGGTCCTGGCTCGCACTGCGCAAGAGATTGGAAACGAGCCCTGTGCTTCGTGAATACTAATGTGTTTGCAGCAACCTCAGAAAAGTCAACATACTCTTGCAAGCCGTCGACCGTCTTGGCAAAGACGTCGAGTACTACGCTGTCGACCTTTCCCTGCCGGAGCTGGAGAGAACATTTGGGGAAATACCTACAGGTGAGGATTCATTCTATCATGCTTAACATTGAGGGGAGTCGTGGGGTTTGTATAGTGCGACACGCTTGCATCAGTTTCCTGTGAAAGTGGCTTAGACCTACATGAGCCTGCATACATGCACCTCAACATAGTAGTGGCCCGGACACTTATCTCCTTATCATTGCGCAATACCGGGCAATGCGAACTGCCGAAACTCGCTAATCAAGCACGCAGAAGGGTACAAGCACGTCAAATGCTTTGGCCTCTATGGCACCTATGATGATGCCCTTGAGTGGCTCAAGACTCCCGAAATCGAAGTGAAACCGAAAACGATCCTTTGGCTGGGCTCGAGCTTGGGCAACTTCAAGCGCCATGAAGTACCGCCATTCCTCGCTGGATTTGGTGCAGTTCTCCAGACTGGCGATACCATGCTTATCGGTATCGATTCGTGCAAGGATCCCGAGGTAAATCTGTCGTCCCCACACGCATGCAAACACCCACTGACCTGATTCCTATACTAGCGTGTTTACCATGCATACAACGATCGTAGCGGTGTAACCCACAGGTTCATCCTCAACGGGCTAAAGCACGCAAACGCACTCATGGGCGAGGAAGCTTTCGACATCCAGGACTGGGAAGCCATTGGAGAGTACGACGAAAAAGCTGGAAGACATCACGCTTTTGTCGCACCACGCAAGGACACGGTCGTCGACGGCATCCAGATCAAGCAGGGCGAGAGAGTTCGTATCGAAGAATCCTACAAGTACAGTCGCGAGGAAGCAAAAGAGCTTTGGGAGTTGGCCAAACTCGCAGAGAACGTTGTGTGGGCAAACTCGAAGGGCGACTACGGCCTGCATTTCGTCTCGAAGCCTGCAATGTTCTTCCCTACCAAACCTGAGGAATACGCAGCGAAGCCGGTGCCATCTTTGACCGAGTGGCGTGAGCTTTGGACGGCCTGGGACGCGGTCACGAAGGACATGATACCCGAAGAAGAGCTACTATCTAAGCCGATCAAGCTTCGCAACGAGTGCATCTTCTACCTTGGCCACATTCCTACATTCTTAGACATCCACATCGCCCGTGCCACCGATGGCAAGCCGTCAGACCCCGCCTACTTCTGGAAGATCTTTGAACGTGGTGTTGACCCTGATGTTGAAGACCCAACTCAATGTCATGCTCACTCCGAGGTTCCCGAAGCGTGGCCCCCGCTGGAGACAATCCTGAAGTTTCAAGAGACTGTGCGACAGAAGGTTGAAGCGCTGTACACTTCGGAAGAAGCAGAGTCGAACGGTCGCGTGTCGCGAGCACTGTGGATTGGCTTTGAACATGAAGCCATGCACCTGGAGACATTGCTCTATATGCTGATTCAGAGTGACAAGGTCTTGCCACCTCCAGGAACCAAACTCCCAGACTTTTCGGCGTTTGCGGCGCAATCTGAGACCCTAGCAACCGCTAACGAGTGGTTCACAATCCCCGAAGCGGACATCGACATCGGTCTCGAAGACCCAGAGAATGACTTTGAGACCAAGCGTTACTTTGGCTGGGATAACGAGAGACCCCGCCGCTCAGCACACGTCAAGTCCTTCCGCGCAAAGGCTCGGCCAATCACAAATGGGGAGTATGCCACATATCTGTCCAAGACAGGAAAGACAGGTATGTAATCTTTGCAGCGGGAGTCGTCGCGTGTATTGATCAAAAGTCTGAGCTCGTCTGCTAACTTGTCGAATCCAGCCATACCTGCGTCGTGGTGCGAACAGCCATACTCAAACGCCAAGGACCTGACCACTGGAAAGAGAGACAGCGTGGTAAACGGTCACCATGAAGGTGTTAATGCCTCACCTCAGAGTATCACGGAAGGGAAATTTGTACGCACTGTCTACGGCACTGTTCCCTTGAAATTTGTCATGGGATGGCCTGTAGTCGCCTCCTACGACGAATTAGCTGGTTGTGCGCATTGGATGGGCGGTCGCATCCCTACCATGGAAGAAGCACGAAGCATCTACAGCTATGTCGACAGCATGAAGCCGGAATTTGAGAGCTCGCTTGGAAACAGGATTCCAGCTGTGAACGGGTATGATGCCTGTTATCCATCCTCGTAGACTCTTGACTAACAGTCTGCAGCCATTTGATCAACGAAGGCGTTTTTGAGACACCACCATCCCGAGCTTTGTCAAACGGCGACTCTGGCGCAGTATCTAGTCTCAACCCACGCAATCTTTTCGTTGACCTTGAGGGAACGAATGTGGGCTTCAAACACTGGCATCCAGTCTCAGTGGTCGAGAAGGGCAACAAGCTCTGCGGCCAATCTGACCTGGGTGGTGTTTGGGAGTGGACTAGCACTGTGCTGGAGAAGCATGACGGCTTCGAGCCGATGGAGCTGTATCCAGGCTATACAGGTATGATGCGATGCGACGGGCTTCTGCTCCTCAACACATGATGAGATGGTATTGCTGACAGCAGGCAGCCGATTTCTTCGACGGTAAACATAACGTCACGCTGGGTGGATCGTGGGCGACGCATCCGCGCATCGCTGGGCGTAAGACCTTGTAAGTGGACGACAGTGGCTGCAGATGAGGCCACAAGACTAACGTGTCGAAGCGTCAACTGGTATCAACGCAATTATCCCTATGTCTGGGCAGGTGCGCGCATTGTGTCGGATGTTTAATAGTGGTGCTTGATTCGTGGTCTTCGCGTTTGTATGGTGTCAAAATCCTGTCTAATCCTGGCCGTTATGATGCAACAACGCGAAACCTCGCGGATGGTCGGTTCACTGCATTCTTCACCGCAACGACGACGAGTCGTTTCCTTACAACGACCCGGAGGCACTCTTTTTGATCGAACACAATTGATATTTGCGCGAGTCTCGTTGGTTGCTGTCTCTACAGAAATCTTTCATTGTTGTGTTGTCGCAGTCACTCGCTCTTTCCGCACAATTACGTAGCCAGCCTCGGAGCAACCCTGGATGCGCTGTTACACCAGTCAACAGCCATTGCACCTCGCCCCGCTACGCTGCCACGCACAATCCCAAACAATTGCGCGTCTTCTCTACTGCACTCCGTGTCCAAGCAGAATTATCGTCTCAATCGCCCGTGCATTTCTCGCTCACACTCTCAAAGCAGCCAATCCTAGCGGCTCTGCCTTCCCAGGTCGCGATCGATCTCGAAAGCGCAGACAGAATTAACATGGTCAACAGTCTTCTTTTCAAGTGGGAGGATTCGGAGGCGCTCAAGTGAGTTGCTGAGCCCGGTGTTTGTTTGTTTGGGCCACCGGAACGCAGTCCGAAGGCAACCACCCAAAGCAGACGGTCGCTAATGATAATCCAATAGACACCACTGCGGCTTTTGCGAGCGTCCGTTGAGCCACCCCGGCGCGAGGGCGTCTTGTTTCGGCAAGCACAGCGAGCCATGCGTGCGCTTCCACCAGGTTCGTTGCATGGGATATACCCAAGGCGAACGATGCACTAACCTCTCCAGGCTATGTTCATGCGACTTCGCGGTCATACTTGCAAGTACTGCATGGGCATTGATGAGCAACACTACAAGCGTCATCACGACATTGCCGAGCGCTTACGAGCCGTCTATGAGAGTTGTGGCGAGATCGACTGGAACATCGTGCCGGACGAATCTGAGCTAGACGAACGTGGAAGAGCGAGAGATCTCGGCGATGAGGACACTCCATCCTCAAAGCGTGAGCGGAAGGATGCAAAGCGTCTAGCAAGAGCGGCTAGTAGATCTAGAGTCATTACGCAGGAGGAGATTAGATACATCGACTCTGTTGTACATTCAGCTGAGGGCATAACGAGCAACGACGCCGACGGGCCGCGGAATCCGGAAGAGATCGAGGAGATTGAGCGACAGCTTCGTGTAGGTGCCGAGTCTGTTGTTTTGGTATCTACTCTGTCCAAATTACTGACTACTCCACAGTACCACGCCCATGTATACAGCACGAAAGTCGGCCGCAAGGGAATCAGAAAGCTCGCCGAGGCACCTGTCGAGTCTCTAAACGTTGACTTCGAAGCCGAAATGGACCGCATCTTGGAAACCTTCCGTATCAACGAGCTACTCAGGCGTAACACCAAAACGAAGGGTCTACAAGGGAAAGAACTCAAGATGTTCCAAGGCCTCGTCGACACGTTCAAGCACGCCATCCTGGAGGACATCGTTCTGGTCAAGAAAGACAATGCCGAAGTGCGAATGCGACGAGCAGGCTATCTCCGATACACTAGTAAGACCGCGTACGGTATTGTAGAAGAGAGGTATACTGGAAAGGACTGGAAAACTGGAGAGAAGTTTGCGTCTAGTCTGAGTGATTTTAGTGGCGGTATCACCCCCACGGATGAGACTGCTCCACTGGTCAGGTTCGTTGCCCTTGCCCTCATCTTTAGTCCCACAAAATTGCGACAAGACGCTGCCCAAGTTCGTTGCGCAACTCATTCATTTTCAAAACTGACAGAAATACAGTGATCAGGACGATGACCAGTCGCCGCCGCGGTCTAGTACCCTTGACATCTCCGACCGAAGGCATCTTGAGAGCAACCACAAGCGCGTGAACGGCGACGATGGACTCTACCATGCAGATATCGAGCCCTATCATACTCCGCTATTACCTTTGCCGCCCGCCCCAACCTTGAACAGACAGTCGGCTGCGGTTCTGGTGATCAACGTCAAGGCTCCAGAGCGGGGGCCGACTACAGTGCCTGGCAGGATCAAGAAGTCACAACAAGCTCCTGATGGATGGCAAGTCGTCACAAATGGAGTGACGCCAACAAAATCGGTAGCAAAGACGCGCGCTTGGGGTAACATTCCAAGTAAGCCTCCGGCTCGTGCTCCTCGGCCTGGACCGACTCCATGGCTTTCCGATTCGCGCGACTTCCCAAACCTCTCAGCCTCGCGGAGCTCTTCAAATGAGCCTTATAGCCCAGCTCCAGCAGTGAAGCCTCCGAAGGCTTGGGGTATGTCAGTACCCGAGAGTTTTACGACCGGGACAGAAGACTCTGCCAACGGCCATCCCGCAATCTCGCAGAGGAAGAAGGCTAAGAAGGCACGAGAGGCGAAGCGCAAGGCAAAGAAGCAGTCTATACCGGAGGCAGCTATCAGTCTTCCTGATCTCCGAAACGAAGCCACTGAAGACGTCTATGACGTGGGTGACGTCTTAGCACAATCTGCTTCCATGCTACCTGAGACTATACTCTACAACAAGGACCACGATAGTTCTCAAGATGTGCTACCGTACAAGGAGAGCGCCAATGATCACGATGCTTCCACCGAGGTAGTATCAGAGCCAATCTCCACGGACACGACATTCGCTCAGGGAGTGTCTCCAGTACCTCTGCCTGAACCTGTACTACCTATCACAAAACACGGCAAGCACATGCACTGGATTAGGTTTGCCCGCAAATTTATTAGCGATCAACTCACAAATCCGTTCCCGCCATCATGGGATGGTTGTTCACATAGCACATCATGTTCGTTTGAGAACAATGACATTCTTGATTGTCCCTTCCATGAGCCTCGTAAGTGCATCGCAACTGGCACTTGGTAGCAGATACTGACTCTGACATAGACTGTCCCTGTGTTGATCCTCTGGGAGATCAATGCTACCTGGTGATGCCATGCCTAGACTTGTGTAGCACGGGACCTTTCAACCGCCTCCGTGGAGAGAAACTACTATCACTGTACGAGAAGGATCATCGGACCAAGGGCCGCTTGATGCTAGTAGACGATGACCTGATCAGCTATCTCATGGAAGACCCTACTAGTCGAGCGCGCAATCGCAGCCCAGATGGCGTACCTGACCGTTTGCAGAAGGAGTACGACAACGTTAAGAATGGCTTCAATCCTGGAGCACTAATGGCTCAAGAGCTTCGATTCGAGCGACTTTATGCAAAGAACGGATTGAACAAAGAGGAGCTCACTCAGGTCATGTTACAGGATATCCAGCACAACGAACTCGAGCGTTCAGGTACGGAGCGCATTTGCTACTGTCGTGCTACCGCACCAAAGGGCGGATTACTCGCGAAGGACACTGTCGTTTGCTCACATCGCGACTGTACTACTACGTACTTTCACAAGTCATGTGTAAAGAAGCTCGGTGTGGAGAAGGTGTCGCGCTGGTACTGCACATCATGTGAACAGCAGATGAAGATACTCGCATGTCAGACGCTACGTGGACTAGGCTATACTGATTACCCCACGGAGCATCTTTGCAGCTCTTCATATGGGCTGAACGCGGAAGATTTCGAAGGAATGTTTGACGAGAAGTTTAGGCAGATGATGAGCTCACCCGACATGGACTACCTGACACTGCTACCTCCCGAGATTAGAGATAAGGTTAAAGAACTTGGTGGGCTGCCTTCCATGCCTGCACAGTTACAGAAGCAACTGAAAGAGAAGATTAGGGCTCTTGGCGTCCAGTTAGCGGGAGCCGACCTTGACTTCCCGATATCTGGTGAGATGCGACGCGGGCTTTGAGGCCCGTACCATACGAGTGGCTGTTTTGGCGTACAGTCGGTACATCTGACGTAAAGTTCGCGCTTCCAATGAGAGATGAGGGATGAGTAATGTGAAGTAGGAGATGGCATGTTTGGAACCAATGTGTGGAACACATCAAACCAAGGTACCATCATCATGGCTCCCATAGTTTAAAAGAAAAAGAAGCCACCGGCTCTGACTCTTTAATCTGCTATAAGTCGTCTGCTCTTGCTCTTAATTCTAATTCTCTTCTCTCAACATCCCTTCTGCCTCTGCTACACTCTACTCAATCTCAGCCCTCCACACTACCGGTTATCTTCAGCCTCGATCAAAGCGACAGCCATATCAGCTTCCAACTACTATCGAGCACCTTCGATTTCCAAAATCCAAAGATCAAGCGCACATCACGCAGACATGTCATCTCCAACCGACTCCGCACACAGCCATGTTCACGCCTCTACATACCCACTCACACGCTGCCACGCAAGAGCGCCTTCGTTTCCACGACCAGAGACACGATACAACACAACTGAAGAGGAGATCGAAGACGCCGAAGTCACCTCTCCCCTAGCTCTCCGTGCAATCGACAGTCTCATCGTCGAGAGAAGAAAGAGGACGAAAATTGGGTTTTGTTCTCGTCAAAGCAATCTGGAACAAAAGTGCCATTGGGAATTTCCGGAAGAGGGCGAAGAAGATGTGGATGTGGAAGGCTTGGGTGGTCTTGCTTTACGCACCGTCAATAGCATAGAGCTAATTCGTCAGGAAAGCGATAAGCTAAAGATAGGTAGTGCGAAAAGCAGGATGAGCAAGAGGAAGAGGGTCAGGAGCTGGTTCTTTGGGGTGTGGTATCGCGCATAAAGATTGAACGTTCCATGGTAACAAAAGGTCTTGATTGATAAGCGAGTTATTGACTGGAGCTATATGATAATGACGCATCGGCATGTGCGAACGTGAACAAACAGTCTACCAATCAAACCAAAGGCATTCGCAATACGCGCTTTGCTCCTAGTAGTACTTGCTGCCGTATGCCAAAAGCGAAAACCATTTGGATTGCTTTCCCTTCCTCTCCCTGATGAGCTTGTAGCGCCGTTCTCCGCTATCCGCTACTGCTCGTACAGTCCGGTTTGAGCGTCCACTACTACCACCCTGAGCATGTGCAGTCGTACTGTGTTTGTCGCCATAGTGAGTGTGGTTCCCGTTTCCATGAGCGTTATCGTTGTGCTGCGTGATTTGGATGATGTAGGGTAATGTGGTGTCATGATGATGATTGGCCGGGGAAGGTAGCGATCGTGGGCCGCCTGGGCCTTGACCTGTCAGTCGGATCACGTTAACACCAGCGCTAGTGGGCCGATTGGGATCATCGAAATTGATGGCCTGCGATGTGTACCCCGGATCTGGATCACTGGGGTCTCCAGACTGCGTGCATACCAATGGATCTGAGCCGTGGTCGAACCGATTGGAAAGCGGGCTGCGTGGCCGCGGGTATATGAGTTTCGGAGATTTACGGTGTTGTGGAGGCAGGTTCCACATGTCGTCCCTGGTGATTGAGCGTGACGCCCCGGGGGGTGACCAAAACCCATCAGCCATACCTGTATCGTTACAGTCTTGCTCAAGGGGTCGATAGTTTGGTGGCTGTTGGGGGTTGATACGGAACGTTTGTGGCTGATGTTTGATAGGATCCAGACCGAAGGATCGTGCTTCGTCCAATATTTTCTTTCGGGTAGCAGGGTCCAGATGTTCGCGGGTGAGATTTTGGTCCAGTTCGCTGACGAACAGTGCTGTGCGGCCAACAAAGCATATGAGAAACTTTTCGGCATGACTGTTCGCCCCGACCTGTTCTCGGAGATGCCGGAAAGCTTCGACAAGAGACCCATCGGCAGTGTGCTGCCAGCGCGAGTCTGTTCCGCTTCCGTTAATGATTCTGGCGTGAACGTCGGTCACGACCGATACGAGCTCATTCTGCAAGATAGGAAGACCGAGTCGCGCCGCGAGCGCCCACGTTTGAGCGAAGAGGAGCAAAGGCGCACTACTGTCGACGCGACTCGCGAAGACCGCCGGGAGATCGTCGCCGTCCAGATAACTCGTCACGACCTGAAAAGGCTTCACTTGCACGTTTGGTAGTATGGTACCCGAGGGCATTGCGTTGAATACCGGACAGTTTCTGAGTACGCGATCATTGAGCTCGATCGGAACAAGGTGCCCGTTGTCGGATTTGACCGTAATAGTGACACCGTCATTCGGTATCTTGAAAGGCATGTTTTAGTGTCGGATGGTCGTGTGAGTCTCTGATGGTTGCGATGTCTTTTTCGAGAAGACAATGGGTTTGTGAGATTCCTGCTCTTATAAGCTATCGGCCACAGTATCATCGGTTTGTACCACGTGAAAGAAATACATCGTCTGATGTTTCCGGTGTAAATACGACTGCGCATCCATTGGACAGATGTGGAGTTTGATAATGTTTGTGTTCTTTGTCCTAATGCATGTACTGAGAGGAGTGTCCATCGTGGATGTGGCTTGTTAGGACTTTCGACGCCGTTGTACATTGTCTGAAAGTTTGCAGCTTTCCAACTGGTCGTTTGATTTGTCCTTCATGATTTTCAATCCCCCAACGATCTAGGACTGTAGGCGACGTTTCCAGTGGCGCACAAGCGGTTTCCAAAGGTTTGTTTTACCATCAAAGTATGAATATGCTATGCCAAGCATCCCGCCGGCGAAGTGAGCCTAATGATGTTAGTAAGTCCCGTGGAGTCATGCGCGTTGAACTTACTGCGTGGCCAAAGTTCACGAAGCTGTAACCGCGAATGATGCCAACGAGATCGAAAAGAAGGATCGCAGGCAGTACATATTGCGCATCGAAGTGTACTGGAATGAACAATATCCCTATTCCAGCGTTCGGGTATTGCATGCAGAACACCCCTAATATTCCAAAAAGTGCTCCTGATGCACCTCCGGACTTGATGAAGATCTCGGGGATGGGCCGTCGATGGAAAGGTATGCGGGTACTCCATGTCTGCCAGTGTTGAGCAAAGCCCGACAGCACACCTGCCGAGAGGAAGAACGACAACGTATGATACGGGCTACCCTCGAACAGTCGCGAGTATCCGACTGGTGCCATGAAGTTGTTCAAGAAGTACATGTTGACGAAAAAATGCAAAGCTCCAGCATGTACAAACATGGATGTAAATTGAGTGTAGTTGACGTTGCGAGCGGGTGTATGCCATAGTGCATCCCAGGCTTTAGGCACGAGAAAGCTGCTAAGATGAACACCGCTATTGGCCCCGATAAGTCCGTACGTGACTCGCGAAATGGGATCGAGACCGGTCCACGCTCCAGTTATGACTTCAGTTGGGGTTGGAGGTCCGCGTTGTGTTGTGTTCCATTGCGGTGCCTGAAACCACCCTCCACTAGATGTCGGCTTTGTTTTAAGCTCCCTCTTGGCCTCTAGATAGGCGAGACCGTAAAATATGCCGCAGGATACCGAAAGAGCCCATAGTGCGGGGCGCAGATACCTAACCCTCCTAGGACTTTCAGGTGTTGCGTTTTCGGCAGTATGATCGATGGTTGGTGATACGTCTACCAAGACAGTTGGTTGCTCGTGTGTAGGCTTTTGGGCATCATTCCTTTGCTGGTCACGATGTACGCGGTTTTTGGAAAGGTGACGGAGTTGTGATACAGCAGGACGGAAGGTAGAAACCGCCGGAAACCGAGACGCGTAGCACGCGGACCGCAATGACGACCCGGCGATCTTGGATGCAAACATGAGGCGCGAGTAACGGTTGCGCGTGGTTGAGATGTAGGGGCAATGACGCGAGGTTTGCATTTGGCATCGGGCCGACTAGCGTATGGGCCGTGCACATCCGTCTCCTGATCCTGGCGTGCCGGCTCCCTTTGCCCCCTTCTACACCTGGGCATCAGCATCCATCACCACTGAATCTTTGCAGATCAAGAGTGCACCCCTTCGCACAACAGTTACGTCTGCGTATCCGTAGCACCGCCTTTTTTTACCAACGCAAATGGACCGTGCATTCCGAGGAGCTTCCCAATTGGGATCCAGCAATCGCTGTTGGTAACTTCGAGCTGCTCATAGGTCACGCAGCAGTATTTTACTGTGGCTCCCACGACACCATGCTCGCCGTGCAATGGATCTTCGCGAACGTTCGTTCGATCGGCCAACCCAGATGCCAGCATTACACAGCGGATGAAGTTTGCGGTGCTACTCTCACAAGGTGTTGTTTACACCCATCCTCGGCGTTCGCAACATCCGCAGGGCACCCGTATGTATTATATGGCTTCTATGAGTACGGAGACTGTGCGGATTATGTACACCATGTTGAGTTATACTTGAAGAGACGTATTCAACACTTGTGAGCTTCTCCCGGTGCCCAACGTCAGACGCAGCTTGAGATAAAGCAAAATGTGTAGATAATTTAACGAAGCATGTACCTTGGTTCGTTCACCACTGAACCAGAGGAACCCCGGATCCTGAACCTCTCAAGTCGTATTGACAGCCCTGCCCATGGGATCTCATATACAGGTCATGTGTATTAATGCTGTACCACTTTCTCATTCACTTCTCCAGCTTCCAACAAACATTAGAGATTGGTGGCACGATCTACCCGCCTCAATATTCAACTCTATCCCACGCTTTCAACCCGAACAGAAAACCCCCAATTATATCTCGACAATGCTCACTTCACTTCAGGCGACACTCGGTGATCAGTCTTACTCTAACGGACGGTCCTCTACAAGCTCCTCAAGTGCAGATATAGCCACTGTCTATACTTCTCCAGCGAAGGTGCGCAATAAAGCTCCGAACACCAACGATATCGAAGTTCGAGTGGGTAAACCACCCTATGCCCGCTTGATTCAGATTCCTGGCTCGGCCCTGAAGGCATGTCCAGTACTGCGCGCGCGTCTCGTGCAGGGATGCAGGATCATGAATACCGACGCCGCTGTCTTTGAGATCATACTGGACTACATGCGCAGCAGCAGTCTTTTAC